TTTCCTTAGTCTAAACAGAGCTTCTCGATGTTGTGTCGTAAGCAAACCTTTTGCGAAATGTTTGGCATTTTTGTACTGTTGGCAACTATGAACTAGTGTAGTTTTAAATCTGATTGGTTCACTGTTAAAACATGGAACTAGTTTCTTTGTTTGTGGATAAACGTTTTCAAACTGTACATGTGTGTCTATTTGGTTAATTTTGTGTCCATACTCATAGAATTTAGGACCCAAGGGTAATAACTCTAATTAAATCTTATCTAGTTAAGTAGTGGAAAATTTTTGAACATGTCGGTCCTGATTGTTGTCTTAGTGGGCACACTATCGCTCATTGGGAGGTAGGTACATTCAGCTGACGAGTCCGAAACAGGATGAAACGTGCGTCCTGCATTCCACTGCTAGTCACTGCCTATCATTACCATACCGAATAGGATCTGAAGGAAAATTCTTTTCTGGTTTCCGTTTTTCTAGAGACCTGACCAGTTTTAGTCGTTTCGTCTTTCCCCTTGTTTTCATTAACTTTCTCGACATAATTAAAAATAATAGACATTGATTCCTATGGTAAATCATCTACGGCGAATGTCCTCTATGAAACATTTCTTTCCAGCTTTGAGATATGTACTTTCAATGAGTTCAGTTGATGAAGAGCAAGTCGTTTTAGTGCTTTAGAATCAGTATAAATCTTGTTAAAACGTAAATGTTTTCAGTAAAATTTTGGATATCGTTCATTTATAAAATTAGACAACGTTTTCGCTTCCATGACGCTGGCATTGTGCTTCAGGTACTTGTTGAGTGCCTTTACTTTAGTAGGATTCACTTGAGATTTAAGAGTTTTAAAAGTTCCCATCATGCAAATTAGAACGAGTTATGTGACCGAACAATGTTATTTTCAACTAACTAACAAGTCGACAGAAGAGACAGCGAAGACGGGACTTCCTTCAGGTGAACGTAGAGAAGACAGAGGTGATGAAGATACCCAACCAACAACAACAAGAAGCTCCAATCACCATCAACGGGAGAAACGTAAAGGAAGTAGTCTCTTTTATTTATCTAGACAGCATCGTTTCAACTACAAGTGGCACAGACGAGGATGTCAAAACCAAGATCAGAAAACTAAGACAGGCGTTCATTAACCTGAAACCAGTATGGAGATCTTCTGTACTCAGCATAAAGCGTGAACAAGATCCGGATTTCCAACACCAATGCCAGTCAAGTCAGTGCTTCAATGTGATGGTTGAGAGACTTGGCGCGTTACGAAAAGCATTTCCAACAAACTACAGATATTCATCAACAACTGCCTACGCTGGCTCGTTACTGAAGCTCAGATGGCGAGGATAACAAGAATGAACAACAAGGAACTCTGGCTGGCTGGCATCGAAGCAAGAACGTATAGCTCAACAAATATTCAGAAGGAAGTGGAGATGGATTAGATTGGGCATGCACTGAGAAGACCACTCAGGAACATCACGCGCCGGGCCATGCACTCAAGTGGAACCCAGATGGGATGCGGAGAGTTGGGCGTCGGAGGCGAGGGTGACATGGAGGAGATGGTGTGAGGAAGAAATGAAAGCTTATGGGGAGTCATGGAGCCAGGTTGAAAAGACTGCAGAGAACAGAGTGGAATGGAGACGTGCTACTGAAGCCGTATGTTCCACTAGGAACCCAAGGGATAAATAATAATATCTAGTGTGACCGAACGGTGTTATTTTCAACTGAAGTAATAATTGAAACAACAACAACAACTTTATCATTGAAATTTTGTATTGCTTGAGTTTTGGATTTCATGAGTAAAGATTTCGGCATTAATCTAGATATAATTTTTAGTACTTCTTATTGACCATTGGGCTTTTTATAAATCATCTATTAGACAGTGAATATTTCGAGTATTTATTAAGTGTGGAGTTTTACACCAGCAGTAGTTTCTGTCATCATCTCTAGAAGAAATCAGTAAGATTACATACTTTAATTTAGATTATTATCGTGTGTATGTACTGTCATCATAGAGTAAAATCAGTAGCAGAGAGACATTGAGAACAAGAGTGCTGTAGTTATTTGTTGTCTCATGCTTATTGGAGACTCTTGAACAGGGCACTGTCTTGATGCCAGGCCTCCTGTAGATACTTCGTTGTTTCCTATCCTCTCTAGTCATCTTCAATTCGTATTAAATAGTGTCATCTAATTTACCCATACTTCGCAAGCTATCCAATGGAATCGTGTTTGTGTTTTATCTTCAGTCAACTTAGGACGTTAAATGTGGTCAACGTTCAGTAGTTGAGAATCAGAATAAGAATACTAAGGATTACTTAGTAGTATTGAAAATTTAAATTTGTATGGGATCAAGCGAAACAGACAAATTACTTACTGGGTTAGAAACAAAAAAAGATGAATAAAGTAGTCAGAGGGTGTATTCGTTTGTCTTTCGATTGGATAGAATTAAACTGAAATAAATACTCGTTTGTGTATGGTGATCATAAGTGAACAGATTAAAATCAATTAAAGCATAAGGTCGATAGGTGTAAAATGATACACGTTAAGGTAGATTATTGAATGTACTATATTTTACTTTGAGTTGTGGATTCATAACATTCTCTTGGTTTTATATCGACTTAATCAACGATTGGAAGAATCTGTTACATACTCATAAGTTCGAACAACCGTTAGTGGTGTGTCGACTTTAGTGATCCTGTTTCCTTGAATTGATTCACTTCGCAAGATTGAAATCCTATTTTGCCAGCAATAAACTCAAATTTAGAAACTCAGTTTGCTTTCGTTTACTGAAAAACAATGTAAATGCCTTTAGCAGTTTTTGCCTTCTATTGTCGAAAGTATTGTATGATTCGTAACTCCTTGATAGTGAAGAAGGATTAGATTTAATAAGACTACAACACGGCAGGACATATTTTGGTATACACCATGATCACCACTTCTGAAGCAGTCGTCAAGTTACACCCACTGAATTAAGAAAAAGATACAGTGTGGTAAGAAAATAACCTCAGCCTTTTGCCAAGACATCTGCCTCATTTAGTTTATAAAATTTTCTGTAAACCGTTAGGTTTACGCTGAAGAATTCAATCTAAGTGACGACGAAATCCTTTTACAACCGACCTAACGAATCTTTCATCAAAATAGTTACTCCCTAATGTTTGATCAGTTAGCGTGTTGGATTAATTTTATTCCTTTGTCAGTAAACTTGCTTGGACTCTAGTTAAGAATTAGTTTTGTGTCCATGTATATATTCTAGTTTTTGGAGGTTAATTGGTGAACTCGATAATCTATCATTCTTGTATCTAACTGAGTTGGTAAGTGGCGAAAGTCCAAGTCCGTGATAGAGAGGTGGCGAGGTTGAAAATGCATCTTGTTAGTGACTGTCCACAAGTACGATCATTCAGTACCAGCATATTTATCAGCCTTAAGTTTGCAGTAGTCTCTAACTTCCACCTTTTAATTATGAAGTATGATTTAAACTACTCAAGTATCAATCAGTAGTATAGAAATAGTGGTTAAGAAAATCAGGATTTAATGGCCTCAACATCTCAGTGATGTGGTACAAAAACTATCGTGATACATGTTCAGTCTGTTACATCGCTTCAATACCGGAATTTAAATCAGTGAGAGATATTGGTGTGACATGAAAGATATTTCATGTTTTTAGCCCCACAAGTACTATTAAGTATCAAACACTTGTCGCTGCTCTCAAACTTTACTTCTTCACTTACATTATCGGTTGTTTGGTTCACTTCTTTTATTTCTGCTATTTTTACGTGTTTCCAGAAAGCCATAAAACGGCGGTTTATTTCAGTTACTAGAACCAAGCACCCTAGTCAACATGAATACTTCTGTCTATTATTTGTCGCACCTCTTTCACCTTTTCATCATTTTACAAACACGTCTTATTCGTATATTGGTGAAATGAATCTGAAATTCTTGGCTTTCAAAAAATGTCTTTTCTCATGCATAGTATATTTGTCATGTAATGCCTTGAATCTCTCAGTTAATAAGGTGTGGAGAAAAGAAGGGTATTTAGAAGGGGGAGAAGTGATTACAGCAATTAGTTAGCTAAATAGTCTGTAGCAGTTATCACCGTTTGTGAGACTATCTGTATATGTGAATGGTTTTTCAGAAGAAAAACACTCTGTTGAGTATAAGAAGAGATGCGACATTCTTATTTTAGCCATCTCTCTTATGTGGACAATACTATCTACTATTTGTTATGCATATTAATTATGTGTATTGTAAATATAAGTTGGATTCAAAGAATGAATAATGCCAAACAGAAGTAAGAAATATTGACTACTGAATTCCGACCCATTGGCTCAATGGTAACCTGCTGGTTGCGGACTCTGAAGGTCCTGAGTTGGATCTCTGGGAAGGTCGTGTTTATGCATTGCTGAGGAGTCCCATACTTGAATGAAATAACTGTCTAGTGCTCCCAGGTTTCTGATGTTTCTCCAACTGGTGGCAGTCCCTAATAAACAGCAACCTGAATTCCTTCAATAAATCCCCACAAACCTTCAAATTGAATTAATCTAGTTCTCATTGGTAACTGGCTTCGAGAGGGGATTCCCGAAGTTTCAATGAGAAGTCGTGACCAGTGGAGCCAACCGAGTCGAACGTGGTGGCAGTTACTCAACGATGGCATTGAATTGAGGTCGCACAATATCATGAACTCACAAAATTAGGAAATATGGACCACTGGATCCTGACCCAGTGATTTGATTGTAATGTGTTGTCCGCAGAACTTGAAGGTTCTGGGTTCGATTAATGACGGGCCAAGTGTTGTATGTGCACTTCTGAGGAGTCTCATACTAGGACAAAACAGCTATCCAACGCTCCCAGGTTTCCAGTGTTTCTGCAACTAACGTCATTCCATTAAGAGTAAACCTTTTGGCAGGTTTGGTTTGATCTTGTAATTAATTCAGTATGATGAGTTATGGACTGGCTATATTTCACTATAATAATGCTTTATTTTGTTTTCCTTCCTATGGTTTCGATAAATATTCTAGTCCGAACTAGCACAACTTCGAATTAGAGAATCGAAAATTCTAAAGGATGACAATGGTAATAACAACAATCCTATATATCCTTCGAAAACTGATAATCTAAATAAAATGCAACTGAATAATCATATACAAATGTTAGATGATGAGTTGAGCAAAATATGGACAGTGACGAGTTTACTAAAATCTGGTTCAGGTTGTGGAAATTCTGTTACAAATGTTTGTTTGAATTCTTTTGCTACTTTACTCAAAACCTCTTCAGCCCAATCAAAACATGTAAGAATTGATTTTGTTTTTGATTCCCCCCCCCATGTTTTCTTTTTATTCTGATGGTCATCAGTTGACTGTTTTAGATCATAATGTATAAATCATTTGACTCACTAGGTTCGTACACATTAATGTGTTCAACTGTAGTGGAGCTTTGATTCATTCGGTCTAGGCGCTTAACTTTTAATGTATGGGTCACGTATTCGAACACTATTCTAAAGTCTGCACTGCCAGGTAGTATACTCAGCTGTCACACAGTAGGTGTGATTCATTGCCGACTGCATGAACGTACATATAATTGCTGAATGGATTTCGTTATTTATTAGGCTACAAAGCATACCCAGTCAATAATACTACTTGGTTGTCGAAGTTAGGACGAATATAGTGGGGACTTGAATACGTTATTCATTTCTTTAGAGTTATGTACTCATGGCAAATATCTACAGCTATAGATTATTTAGGTTGTGTTAATGGAATTTTACCGGTTCCACAATGCACGGACAATTTTCTCATTTGGAATTATTCTTTCATTCAATCTGTCAAAATTAGTTTGATTCTCGATAGCGTAATTAGAAAACGAAATTTATCTTAACAATATGATGTATTTGCACAATATATTTCAAACAATATGATCACACATGTACTTGTCAAGTCAATTTACATTAAACCGAAAATTGGAGCGACAAATACAATTAAGACAATGGGGGATTAAAATCAAGAAAGATGAGAACAAACAAGAAGGGTAACATAGTTGATCCTAATCTTGGTAAGAAAACAAAGTTTGCCAAGCAAAGTAGGTGTAATGTAAGAACAAATTGTTTTATACACATATAGCTGTGTGCCTATGGCTTCTACAATTCTCAATATGCGTCATTGACTGTTTCTATGAAAGACTTTGAAAGCTGTTTGAACATTAATTTATTTCCTCCCACTTTTCTTTTTTATACAAATTGACTTGAAAAATACGTGTATGATACAGACTGTTCCAAACATGTTGCCTAAATGCATCACATTGTTCAGATAAACTTTGTCTTCTAGTAATGCTATCGAAATTCATAAAAAGGACTAGTTTGGTTCTGTTTGAAATGGAATTACATTCTACAAAACTGCAAAAGTTTTATATTCTTGAGTTTGTTTATTTACTTTCAAATTATCGACGGTGAAAAATATAGTTTCATATTATCATCAAAAAATTTTCATTTTGCCTGCCATGTAGGTTATTATTACTACTTATCCCTTGGGTTCCTGGTGGAATATAGGGCTTCAGTAGCACGTCTCCATTCCACCCTGTTCTCTGCAGTATTTTGAACCTGGCTCCACGACTCCTCAGAAGCTCTCATTTCTTCCTCACACTATCTCCTCCATGTCACGCCCCCCACGTGGGTCCCACTTGAGGGCTTGGTCTGGCTCGTGATGTCCCCAAATGGTGTCTCAGTGTATGCTCGATCAATCCATCTCCACTTTTTTCTGCATATTTGTTGGATGATAAGTTGTTGGTTGGTTCGTTGCCAGAGTTCCTTGTTGCTGATTGTTTGTGGCCACCTGATCTTCAGTATCGAGTGAGCGTGGGCGGCAGCTGTTGATGAGTGTCTGCAGTTTGTTGAAAATGCTTTCCGTAACGCGCCAAGTCTCTCAACCATCACATAGAAGCACTGAGTTGACGTTGGTGTTGAAAACCCGAGTCCTATTGTTTATGCTGAGTTGAGTACAGTAGATCTCCACACTGGTTTCAGATTGATGAAGGCCCGTGTTCCTGTCTTTCCGATCCTGGCTTTGACATCTTCATCTGTGCCTGTGCCAATGCCTGTAGTTGAAACGATGGTGTCTAGGTAGGTAGTTAGGTGAAAGAGACAACTCCGTTTACATTTCTCCCGTTGATGGTGCTTGTTGTTGATATTGTTATTGGTTGGGTATCTTCATCACCTCATTCTTCTCTACGTTCATGTGAAGGAAGTTCCGTCTTCGCTGCCCTGCCTATTCTGTCAACTTGTTGGCTTTTGCCTGTGGATCTTCGAGTTTGTGCCACAAGAGATTAGACATAAGTGATCATCGGCGAAATCGTGTAGGGTCTCTTCATCGGTCAAGCCAGTCGGCGTATGCCCCTCTTCTCAATCCTCACAGTTTGTTGCATAATCCAGTCGACCACAATTAAGAAGATGATCGGTGATAGTAGGCGGCAGCCTTGTCTTACTCCTTCCTGTCCTCACTTCGAAGGAGTCACTGAGCTCAGCTTTCCATTGTGAATCACTTGACATGTGGCGTCGTCATATGGTCGTTGAATGAGGTTGATAAAGGTTTGCGGCACTCCGTAGTGTTGGAGCAGCTGCCTGCCAAACTACTTCTCGGTCGACGCTGTCAAAGGCTTTCTCAAGTCGATATAGTTGAGGTAGAGGGTTGACTGGCATTCTATCCTCTGTTCTATGATGATGCGTAGTGTAGCGTTGCAATTCGACCCGCACATGATTTGATTTTCCTGAATCCAGCCAGCCTGTTGCGGTCGTAATTTTGAATCGAGCACATCCTTTAGTCTCTCCAGGATGATGTGGCATTAGATTTTGCTTAGGGGGGGGGGGCAATAGCATGTATGCGCGTATGCCACGCTCATGTATGTCTGGGCTAATGGTGTATTTCTGTGGGTTAACTTGCATTCATTGCCATTAAAAAGTTGGTTTGAATTTTTGTTTAGTGGCGCAATAATATCTTTTGAGATCCTCAAAGAAGCTGAATTTTGCTGCTTGCATTCAGAGTGGATTAGGTTCACGCGGAATCGCGTGACTGTGCATGCAAATGTCTGGATGGATAAACGGGCTAAACTAAAGATTGGATAACTGGAATCGGCCCGCGATTGACCGAATAGTTAAATGGCAACGTCTGTGACTGCAGTGCTTAGTGATGGGTGTTCGAACCGTAGTTGGGACATCAGTTTGGGGGGTTGCAGTTACGCGTAGCTGGCGAATGCCGAGAAGTATGAAACCGGGGTCAAACAGACTATTGATCGTCTCCATCCGACTATTATCTGTCTCAGGGTATCGCGATGCTAATCCCTTTAGCATGGTGGTCACGTTGCAAAATAATCGGTAGAATTTGTTCAGCATTCACGACTAGACTATGTGAAGTCGGTTACCTTCCAGTACATAAACCGAAGGTTTTTATCTTCTAGAATAATGTATATATGTTGTGGTTTGCATAAATGCCATCTAAAAGTATATTAACATAATGGTAGTAAAATCAAGTGCTACTGTATGAATGTTCAATGCAGTATGTATCAGTATCACACCGTATCATTTTGCACACCTATTCTATGACTTTCAAATTTTCATTTCAACTTCAATCGCCACCCAGCATCAATACTAGTCTACCAAACGAAGGCTTTCTCATAGATAGTCAAAATAATAATCAATATTATGCTCTCTTTCTTTGATTCAAGTAGATTTGGATTGGGATGAGAAGTCCTGAGTAGGCAGCCAGTGTGAGTACTATCAAGAGGTAGTTATGCGTCATGAATTCACATGGCAGTAGAGTAAAAACATTGTAGTTGAAGTGAAATGAAAATATGGTCGGGATTCGGGTCGCGTGATTCAGTTGGTAGAGCATCGGGTTGGAAACTCAGTGATCGATGGTTTGAATCCCGCTTCAGTCCGAATTTTCTTTTCACCTTCAATCATCTCCCAGTAATTGTAAACGGTGATAACTGATAACAAAAATAGTTTTTCGGATTGCTTGAGTATGATTTTAATGTTTTGTGAATGGAGTAATCATCTTTCTTAATAGTAATGATCAAACTTACTCGTGAAACTATTGTTGAATATTCTGTGTGTGTGTGTGTGTGTGTGTGTGTGTGTGTGTGTGTGTGTGTGTGTGTGTGTGTGTGTGTGTGTGTGTGTGTGTGTGTGTGTGAAGTATTCACCTTCATGACTGGCCGAAAACTTACAACTGATTCTGATCTACTGAGTTCAATACCTTAGGATTTTCTTAGAAGATATTCAACACAAACACCTGGTGGGTTGGATGCTCATTCTCATTTTAGTTTACAACAATATAAAAACTTAGAATTAATTTTGTTGAGGAATAATTGACTTTGGTCGATAGGAATTCCGGGAAATACTCTATCTCCATAATTCCCTTATATATTTTCTTTTCAAGTGCAATACTAACTTGTTTTTCTCCATAACCTTGGAGAAATATATTTTTGTTCAACGCTCATCTACCAACTTTGTATTCAGTACGTTAAATAATAAAAATCTCTATTATAGGCTTCAGCTCAGAGTCCTAAATGTCGTTTTCATGGTGGATTGTTGAAGCACAGTTTACCACATCACCAACGTGAACGGAGTTTTAGTCTTCCAAGTGAAGATTTTGACGCGAGACAGATTATTTCGAGTAATAATCTCATCCATTGCAATGGGACAACAAGTGCAGGCTCTGAATTTGATTCATGTGAAGAATTTTTGGACATCTCTAGAGGACTGAATCATTCCAAAAAGAAACCGGTAAGTATCTGTTGTTCGTCTATCGAATACACTTCTCACGTAAATAAAAATGGATGACCATCCAAGCTACTTTAAAGTTTTCCAGTGGTATCATTAAACATCAAATAATATCTCTGTTTATGGATAGGACAAATACGCAATCCGTAACCCTACTATCAATAAACTTTTACCTCAGATTAACTGTACTGTACTCCTTATAAGAACTGTGCTTCGATTTATCTCCATAGGACACTCACCAACAGTTTTGAAACTGTTTAAATTAAATTTAAAGTTTATGGTTTGGAAAAATATTAGTCATTGTAGATTGTTTTTACTCACTGGCTTGTTCTTGCTTCTCATTGTGGTGATGGAACTGTTTATCATTTCATCTGTCAAGAGTACATATGATTTTTTGTTCTATTACGGTTTCTTAGTGAATTAATATGTTACTATTTCATAAATAATATCAGTTTATACCTTAGTCTAGAGGGTTTTTTGATAAATTTTCCATATGTGGACATTTTGTTAAAATTTACGGGTTTATGCGTTTTTCAGATCTTTCCATGTTGTCATTTCAATGTATATGTTAGCCACGTAATCGTTAATAATTACTCCTACTATACCTGAAGTGATTTAATGCAGACATTGTTATATTTATTACTAACAAGAGGGTTAACTCAACATATTGATGTTGTAAACCATGAACTCCAACTGATGTGTTATGACAAATGCTGCCAGCTTGTTTGCATTTTTTGTGTGTTTTCGTTGAATGATATCGATTGTGCTTGTAGCGTTGGGAGGTAAAATATCCCCCTGAAATATATTTTGAATAGTGACATTCATTACTTCTATTCTACATGTAGAATTCCACGGATAAGTTTGTACCTGTTCCGATTTAACCCAATTGGTGCATTGGACAAATGATTCCCACTTTTGATCAATTCGCCCACACAAGCCAGCTCAGGGTGCTTTGTAAACAAATGTAACTTTGATTAAGCTTCAAATGAAAAGCCTGTATTCTGTGCCAGCCTACTTCTAAAAACTACCGCGAACAGTTGAAGTTAGAGAAGCAAACAAGTCATCCGTGCTGTATGACATTCTCTATGCTGATATGTCAAAGCATTCACCGCAATGCTTAATTCTTTTATACCTACTAGTATACTAATCAGTTATATACAGCTTTCTGACCAATTTATGCTAGCTGCTCCTTGGGAACTTTAAACATAGCTTATTCTTAACGCTTAACAGACAAACACAAAGAGAAATAAATGGTCTACTCGGTTGTGGTTAGCTCAGGGATCCAGGACGCACGTTTTGTCCTAACTTGGACTCATCAGCTGAATGTACCTGCACCCCAGTGAGTTGCCACGTTACATTTCGGTGTATGGATAGACAAGTGAAAATCTTGGCATTTATGCGCTAATCAAGGGGACTGATTGCTAATTTACGTTACGGTTGCATATAAACTACAAGAAGCTTTATTATTTTAGGGAGATTGTGGAGTTCTTGGCCATAGAGAATTCTAAACCATTGTCAATTAAAATATTCTCTTTAAGCAAACTTTTCACAATAATCCAAGTTACTCTCAACGTTTAGTTGAATACAAAGACATATATGGTGTTGCTTCTGGTCTATTTGCCTAATATCCATTTAAGCGAAGCTTATTGATCAATAAAAAGAAATAATCATACGCATCAAAACAACCTGAATTCGACGTTGAATGTCCCACTATTCTGTTGCGTTGTAGTTTCAGCATATAGCAGTTTTCGGCTTATGATAATTATTGTCGACTGTTGTTTCCTATTGATTTTCAGATTTCGATACAAACCTATACACATAAATGTTTGAAAGACAGTGCAATTGTATTGCCTGGTATATGTAATCAAGGAAGTCTGTATTACTACAAAGTAGAGATTGTAGAAATCAGGAAACGCCCATTTTATTAAATTTGACCAAAACCTTATCTCAGTGATAGTTTTGATTGAAATAGAAAAAAAATTTAGTTTTGTATTGCTTCAAAAGTAATTTTATGTTTTTGTGGTAAATATTTTCTTTCTGTTCTAAGGAAATATTGTAGTCGATAGCATTTTTCTTTAGGTATATAGGACGGAAAATGATTGTTACAATGGTGGGTTGTACAATGAAATGTCATCTTTTTTCCAGGAATAGATATACAAGGATTTTTTAGAATTACTGACTTTATGTGCATTCAAGTTTGTATATGAGTTCTCTACAAAGTCGAATTTCTCATCAATCAGGCAAAAAATATCTGAATGCTTATTCCTTCTCTGTTTGATACTCTTAGGCAATAAGGATTATTGAGTACTATTACGGGATTCGATTTGGTCTTTCCTTGGGCTACCTTATTCATTATCGGTGAATTAAAAGCTTTTACATCACTACCTTGATGATAACCACTGTATCTTTATCATGTCACTGAACATCAACATTTTTCAGTTACTGTCACAAACTATAGTCTGAAATCCGAGTACTAAATGTAACTTCTTTATTGTTTGTAAAAATAGTTACCTTGGTAATTGCTTTATTATTAAGACGAGTATTTCCTAAGAGGTTTAAGGTATGAAAAACATCAACATCACATGCTGCAGTCGTATATCCATTCAAGTCGCCACATTTCATGCCAGCATAGGCAAAATTAACAAGAAGGAAGAAAGATATGCACCAGTTGTAGGAAGGATTCAAAGACGAAAGTGAGAGAGCTGTGGAAAGGATGAAAAGTGGTAATCCATGACGCACACAGCTTGGCGTAGCCATCTTGAAGAATGACCCACCCTACTCTATAAGGTGATCATAAGTGTTTGATTATAGAGCCCTCAGTAGGGTAGGATGAGGTGGTTTTGATCTTAGCTTTTTCCAACTGAACTTCTTGGTATGGCTTTGCCTAAAACATATTTTTACAGCCAGTATAGCTAAGAAGATTAACTGGTATAGGCTATCTTGACCACTACAACTAAGTAGTCGTTAAGATTGTTTAGTGCTAAAAGTTTTTGATCGACAACTATGCTTTTTATCGATACCCTTTTGAAGTATTTAACTGAGTGGAATTATTATTTACATACATATAGCTTTGTGGCAAACTTAATGCCCAACCCATGGACTTATAGACATACTGGCACTAATCACGTATTTGTCAGTGAAGACATCTGAATGTTGTTTGTTTTTATAGATTTCCACCGATTTGAACTACCGTCCTGGTAATATTAGATGACTGAACAACTGTCCTGTTGAGTAAACTATCGATAAAATCTCCATCAGATTTATTCAGACTATGAAAAATATTGCCTTCGGTTATTTGGCTGTTATTTTTCTATCTGGTTGGAAAAGTGGAATGGAATGATTGGTGGGATGTCCTGCTTTAAGATTAACGCCAAATATTTGTTCTTGACTTGCTATATTTTCCTCTTTTGACAGAATCGTCAGTGCAGATTGTCACATACTCAGCGTTCTGTAACACCATCAACGCCTAGTTCTCGAACTACAGGAACTGGTCGTAGCACCTTATTATCTATTCTAACTCCTCGCACAAATGATGCATATACAATAAATGATTTACGCAAACCACTTCCAACAGCTAGTGAATGGAATTTAGACGATCATGCCAATCATAACCCTTATAATGGTAAGACTTACAGTTTGTACAAAGGTTCTTATCATTGTATCCAATCGTTTGTTTGTTACGTTTTGCATAGACTGTGACCTGAACCGTATTTTTGTGGTTTCTTTTGAGGGGGTGATTAGTTTTTTTTTTTACAAATCTTTGTAGAACTGCAAGAGTCCTTAAAATTACTTCATTCTTTACATCATGGAAGTTAGCTGAATGAATTCATTATTTTCTAGTCTATGTTTCCAGTTGAATAAAAACAAATCAAGATATTTTTAGTGACATTTTACTACTTAGTGTTAATGTCTTATTGTTGGTAACCTTTTAGAAAAATCTCATGACTGTTGAAATCTCTGATTTAAGTTAGAAAGTATTTTCATTAAGACTTCATCAAGCTCAACCTTTGACACGGAAAATTCTGATAATGACATCTTATACATAAAGTGTTAATATATAATTAACTAGTCTACGTATGATAACTTACGCGTAGGGTTTTATTGCGCAACATGGAATTTTTTAGTGGACTAAAGTTAAATCAAAAATTGACTGACACGTGAGTAGGCCATTAAGCATACGTGTGAAAATAAAACAGGAAACAATTTTAATGGGATTAGAAAATTGTACTAATCGAATGTAAGAGCTGAAAGTATGCATGCAGAAAATAAGATAATAATTGATTACTCTGTACGTTGGGGAATAACTAGACTTTGGAATAAATACGTCTTAAGGCCAGAGAAAAGAAAATCTATGAACAAACTTTCGCTGAACATATAGCTCTGACCTTATGACACGACACTAGCTTTGGTCCACTAAGAAAGACGAAGATAGATGTTATGTGAAAGTTGACTTGTTATCTAATGAACAAGTGGGAATAACGACTTCATTCCTTGACGAGATCAGATTATATACAGTTTTCTCAACACTTATAAACTCGGTCATGCTGGCATGTATTCCTTTGCTGGGGATGGTTCTTATAAGGCGTTCAGGGTAACTTACACCATGGGATCAGTTGAAGTTATTTATATGCATGAATTCGAACTGGAAACTAGAATGGCTTTGCTTGTATATTTCATTTTCAGCCATTCATTGAACCAGGTTCGGAATTTTGTGAATGTTCAAATGTACGGAAACAACCTGGTTGAAAATCTCTCTTTTTTCGACACTTTTGAGAAATAGTAGTTTTCCCTATATATATATATATATATATATATATATATATATATATATATATATATATATATATATATATATATAACCGAACTAAGTATTTTCAAAATACACAATCTAGCGTGAAAATGATGTAATCAGACTGTTTCATTGAAGAGTTTCATCATATTTCTCTTTGAAGGGAAAAATATATTAGTGTAGGTAATCTGCATATATATTGCGTGAGATTTTCATTTTTGAAATCCTGAGGTAATTTACGCTATCAAGCAGATCACATAATGTACTCTTATTATTTGATTCTCAGAGCAATCCGTAGTACAATTTCGCTACTAGGAGTAGCTTAATTCTAACTGTTATCTGTATAGTTCGCAAACACCTTGTTTGAGATTCAACACCGTTAAACTGTCTTCTCGTTAATCACTAAGCTGTGAGGGATTTCCTCATTTACAGTAAAAAAGAACGGTTTATTATCGATGGGTAAATTAGAAACTATTGAATTCAAGGTAATGAATTATTAACGTGAAGTCCTGATAAAGTATACGGTTGATTAAGTCCACCATTGTGAACAATACAAAATAAGCTGTCTGCAGGGAATTTGAAGCATCATTGTGATTTTGGTCTTTTTAGTTCAGTTTCTGTATTGCACAGATGAGAAAATGGAAACCACCAAATCCAATCCTGTTATGATTAATACCTTCATCCAGTTCAAGTCTACTTTCAATGAGAAATTCGTATATGAATATGAATATGAACGTATTTCAAATATATTAGATAAAACAGTCACAGGCTACATCTAACATATGTTTAGTACGGAGTTCCTAATTATTTTCATTGATGTTGAGTGAATAAGGGATTGTGCGAAATTGAATGGCTACTTGTTTTAAACAGGGATTAATGTCTAGCACTTCAGTGCTTTTAGTATTTTTGATGGTGATAATTCTCATGATTTGCACCATGAAAGAATAACCATTGGTGTGGAGATATAACTCGTTAGTTTAAGCAGTCCATTTTAAAGCAAATCACCTCGGTTTCAAACTCCACTCCACCTACTTTAATCTGGACAAGGTGATAGTGCCATCAGTCATCATAAAGTAAGTGTGGGGCCCATAGTCTAACACATAAACATGTGTACCGAGTTGCATTGCATCGCATTACACTTGGTGTTATGAAATCTTCAGGAAATTTGAATCAATTGGCTTGTTAGCTGGAAGAGTAAATGAGAGACGCTGAATGTGGTTTCTTCCTGTTTATTGTGGGTAAAACACTGATCTGCTACAGGTATTTTACTGCCTATTCTCATTAGTCAGCACGAAGAAAATAGGAGGGAAACACTAAATGTAATTAGGAAACATAACATTAGATGTTAAGGGCTTTTATGAAATAGTCTTCCCATTGTTTGAGAAAAACTAAGAGAAATGTTGCATAAGAATTCTCTCAGAGATGCTATCTGAGCAATTCGTATTAGTATTGCCAACTGTATACTTTATTCAGTATATGAGCCAAGATTTCTTTTTCACTACATTGAATCCACTGGAGTACTTATGCTTATTAAGTCATGAAACTGAAGAAATTACTGGAGATCAGAGATTTCTACCAATTCCCTATTATTCTTTTTGCTTTCATTGTAGTTTTGTTTTCATTTTGAGTGGTAATAACTTCCCCTTTTATTATTTATGCTGTTTATATCTTATTCATGCATAATTTCAACTGTTTACACCCATTCCAATGGTCATTATTATTACTATGACTAGTATCCATAGCCTTTTGTTATGTGATTGAATTATTGAATGAATGAGAACTATTTACTCTTGTTTATTTGTTTATTAGATTAGCAGTTCATTCATCCATAATATGCATGTGAAAAGGTAACTTTAGTTGGTCAACATCTGTTCATTGGTGAATATACTTTTTTTTCATCCTGAAGGAATTTATAGTTATGTTGATATATGCTATGAATTTTTCGTTTTACTGCTCGTAGAGTAGCTGTTATAGAACATACTGCAGAATTACTTTCACGCTGATCTGTATCATAGTCTATTTATTGTTATCTAGCCATTGTTGCTAATCAGCTTTACAACGACATTGAATGTTGTCACACCATTATAACCGATAGTAACCAAAATAACTGACTAATGACGTTTCTGTGCTCTTCCTGAGCTAAATGAGTTTATATTACAATGAGGTAATCAGTTTTATTAAGGCTTCTATGTACTCCGCTGATGAGGGCTAGCGGATGTGAAATTTTACTTTGTCGGTTCTTGTAATTATGCAACACCTTAAGTTATACCTTCACGATAAAGGATTTCTAAGTCTTTTTTTTTGCTAGGGGAGCAGTGGATTGCAAATTGACATTTTTCCAACAAGTGAAATACTATGAAACAAGCTTTAGTACGGCTATTATAGTCTACATCAGGTGAATATTCGCATATTCCGAATGGGAGAAAAGGAGCTCCATTATCAGTAAAAAAAAAGGATAGGCTCTACTCTTTTCAGATTCATTTACCTCATCATAGTCAATTGTGCAGTTGGAAAACAATAACCTCATGACTGAATTGTTACAGAGTTTTTACGTTCTGACTTATATTCAGTGAAACATTTATTTATTGTTCTTGTACTGAAAGCTACTACCTAGTAGGTGTCCGATTCTCTCAACTTCTCATTATTTCTACAACTGATCTGATTTAGTTATTAAAAAAGTTCATCGAAAAGAAATAAGGACCGTACTAAATATTACGCTCTGTTGCTGAATTGTTGAGGTCAGGTGAAGTGAACTAAGCAAGACAGGCAAGTTGATTGATGAGGTTGTGAACCTTCATCATCTGAGATGGCTTGAACATTGTACTGCGCATGCCGAGCCACCGCCTGTCTCGAAATGCAATTCTAGGGGAAGTTGGAAGAGGGTTCAGGGTGTCCAGACCAAGTTGTGGTACCAGTCGATGAACTCTCTTACTGTTAGTAGGAATCGTGTGGGGCGATGCCGATTGTCTGTTTGGGGTTCTCGAGACGAAAGGAATCAGTGGTTGGGGACTCTTAGAGATGTAGCTGAAAATCAGTCTCAATGGCGCAGATGCATTCACTCCTTGATATCTTCTAAAGCTTGAAAATTTGCACTGGCATTTATCTTCAGATTCTTTATTCCCTTATACTACTTTATCTACTTTGCTATCACTCCTTTTCTACCCACCTGTGTTTTTGTACTACTATGAAGTGCAACAACTTGAACCCGTGCACATGTATACGAGGTTCTGCGTTGATTTAGTCAGTCGGTTACTCAGTTGCTTCTGAATAATCTACAACACCATTCATTTCTCTTCATCGATTACCTGTAAGTGTATAAACTATTCTACGTGTTCCTCGTGGAAACTACTGGTTTGTTTATGGTGTGTGTTTCTACTCAGTCAAAAATCCTATTGTTCGAGTCCTATAAACTATTTGCATTCCCTAATACAATTTGTTGTTCTGCCGTTTCTTTCACTGCTAAAAATTAGAAATTCACGAATCTAGCAGCAATTGTATTCCATATGAATCATCTACCCCAGTGCACGTGCATTATGTCAAAGCTAAGACTACGAATGTGCTTAACTGCCCACGTGGTACAGGTGTTGGTGGTGCACTTCCTACTCCACCTTTTCCTCAACCATCGTTTGAATCTTTTCAGTCTAATTCACTTACTGGGAATACAAATGAAGACATCATTGGTAGAGATTTCATTCAACCAACAAAATCTAATAGTAAGTAGACTAATTTTTTTTATAGGTATTAGTAATACTCATTGAATGACCCTAGACGATGGGTTTGATCATTTACAAAAGTGACTCCTATTTGTTTCCCAATATAAAAGCGTTAATTCAACTTATCAAATTTCGTTTGGCATAAGTTTTCCTATATGTGATAAGTATGGTATGTACTTTGGACCATCAAAGTACGAAGTACTTTCAACAGTTTGGGATGAGCCTGTGCCTGCCCTCACCCTCGCTGGTGAGCCGTCAGAAGTAGTCGCAAAGTTCATGTGTCTGGGTAGTTGTGTGAATGCTGGTGGAGGTGTGAATGATGAAGTTTCTAACCGCATATCGAAAGCCAAATTTGCATACGTCAATCTGGACCACCTTCGGCACCGTCACGACGTTGTCTCACCGTAAAAGGTTGGGCTTACAACGCTTTGGTGCGGGCAGTTCTGCTCTACGCCTGTGAAACCTGGTCTCTCCTATCCGAGCTAAGGATATGTGACGACTCTGTGTGTTCGAACATCGTTGTCTCCATAGGATTGCTCGTATCCGGTGGGAACACCATGTAGGTAACTCTAAAGTACCACAGTGTCTGTTTGGGCATGACGGAGATCGTCATTTAATAAGCAAAGTTATCTGGAAGCACCATCTCCAATGGCCTGGACATGTGTTACTCATGGCGTTCCAACGGCTTCCTTGGCATTGATTGTTTGCTAGCCCTGGGATTATACGGAAAATGCTAAGCGGGTGGTCAGTGTTATGACGTGACACCATGGGATGAAAGGTTGTTGTATCGGGTTAGCATTCGTTGGTGCATCACGATTCCTTGGGTGGAGTTCGAGAGACCACCCAACTCAGTGGCTTCAGACGTTATCAGATATGGCTCATAATCGAAACCGGTTACGGTCGTGTTGCAGTTTCCTTCTATCATCTGATGCCAAAAGGTAGTGAATATTTTGTTTTGAATTCATTATTTTGGACTGCCGTTCTAACCATGCAATTAGGGAACCACTGAAAACCTAGGACCACTTGCAACTAAATGCTTAAACCACTCCTCGTGAAAAGGAAACGTCCTGAGTTCGATCCCTGGCCCGGTTATGGCTGCGTCGTGCTGAATAGTCCTGTACTGAAACGAAACAGCTGTCCAGTCCCCTCAGGCTTTCAATAGTTCTCCAACTGATGTCAGTCTGTGATAAATACCACCGCAAAAATACTACTACTACTACTACTACTACTACTACTACTACTACTATACTACCATACTGCAATACTACTATACTACTACACTACTATCCTACTATCCTACTCTACTTCTCAGCTACTCTACTACTTTACTATCAGACTATTATACTACGATACTACTATACTACCATATTACTATACCGCTATACTGCTGTGCTACTATACTACTTACTATACTAGCGTACTGCAACTACTACTATGCTACTACTACAACTATACCACCATGCTACTACTACACGTCTATAATAATTCTACTACTACTATACCACTATACTGCTACTACTACTACTACCGCACTATGCTACTATACTACCATACCGATATACTACTCTGCTGCCGTGGTATTATACTACTTTACTGTTAGACTATTATGCTACTTTACTACCATATTACTATGCTGCTATACTTCTATACTGCTACACTACTATAGTGCTATACTACTGTACTACTGTACTGCTATACTACTATGCTACCATGCTACTTTACTACTATATTACCATGCTATTATACTACTATACCACCATGCTACTATCCCACTATCCTACTGCTACTATACTACTTTACAGCTATACTACTCCAATGCCCTGCTACTCTACCGCTTTACTATTAGACTGCTATGCTACTATACTACTATACTACCATATTACTATACTGCTATTCTGCTACACTACTGTACTAGACTACTACTAGTATTAATGCTATACTACTATACTACTCTACTGTTCTGCTACTCTAGTATTATTATACAATGCTACTACTCTACTATACCGCTGTGCTACTAGTTTTACTAAACTACTATACTACTCCTACTATACTACTACTACTTTACTACCATACTGCTATGCTGCTATAGTGCTATAGTACCATGCTATTATAGTAGTATACTACTATACTACTCTACTACCCCAGTACTATTCTGTTATGCCAATATAATATTATGCTTCTATCCTATACTGCTGCGCTGCTATAATACTTTACTGCTACACTACTACGCCACTCTGCTACTATGCTACAATACTACTGCTGTACTAAAATGCTACTAAACTACCACTACGCTACTATCATACTACTTTACTACTACTACCATTAAACTACTACACTACTCTACTAGTGGACTATTATACTACGATACTACTATAATGCTATGATACTGTACTGCTTTACTGGTTTACTGTTATGTTGCCGTACTATTATATAACTATAATACTATACTACTATACTAGTCTGCTACTCTACTACTCCACTATTATACTACTATGCTGCTATACTACTATGCTACTACACCACTATGCTATTATACTACTGTAGTACTATGGTATTACACTAGCATACTACCAGACTATTATACAGCTTTACTACCATACTACTCTACAATTCTACTATACTATTATACTACTATGCTGATATACCGCTATATTCCTATACTAGTATGCTCCTATAGTGCTGCACTCCTTTACCGCTATTCTGCTGTGATAGTATACTACTATGCTACTTTACTACTATACTAGAATACTACTACTACTAGTATGCTACTATAGTACTCTACGACTCTACTAGTCTAGTGTTGTACTACAGTGCTAATATACTACTATACTGCTATACTGCCACTACTACTATGCTGCCATACTACTATACTACTACTATGGTACTACAGTACTCTACTACTCTACTATTACACTGCAATACTACAATGCTAATATGATACTGCACTGCTATACTGACATGCTGTTATACTACTGTATTGCTATGCTGCTATTCTACTACTCTACTATTATACTATTGTACTACTATGCTGCTATACTCTTATACTACCATACTGGTATGGTGCTTTAGTGCTGCACTGCTGTGCTGCTATTCCGCTATACCACTATAATACTATACTACTGTACTAGTATACTAGAATACTACTACATCTACTACTATGGTTCTATACTACTCTACTGCTCTACCACTTTACTATTATAGTACAATGCTTCTATACTACTATACTGATATGCTGCTGTACTGTTATGCCACTATACTACTACGCTAGCATACTACAATACAACTACCACTATACAACTGTACTTCTACTACTACTAAACTACTACTACTTTACTTCTATACTACTATACGACAATACTGCTATGGTGCTATACTGCTGTACTACTATGCTACTGTACTACTGTAATACTACACTACTATACTACTCCAGTGTTTTACTATTATACTACTATAATACTATACTGCTATACTACCCCGCTATAATGCTATACTCTTATACTACTATACTACTAAACTACCACTACTATACTACTATTGGTACCCTACATCTACACTACTATACGACTGCTACTGTTATACCACTGTACTACTCTAATACTCTACCGCTAGACTGTTATACTACTATAATTCTATACTACCATACTACTACACTACTATGCTACTATACAGCTTTACCGCTGTACTACCAGATTACTATACTACTCTACTATTATACTGCTATGCTACTTTACTACTATACTAGAATACTACCGCTACTACTATGCTACTATACTGCTACTACTACTATACTACTACTACCACTATACCATTATACTACTATACCAGGGTACTACTATACTATGCCACTATACTACGGTACTACTGCACTACTATGCTACCATAGTGCTGTACTGTTACTACTTTACTGCTGTACTACTGCCGCTACTTTACTAATATACTACTACTACTATTGCTGTACTACTATGCTGCTATACTACTATGGTGCTATAGTAGTATACTACCATACCACTATACTACTGCTGTGATGGTAGTACTACTACAGTACTATTCTACTAGTGCCACAACTGTTCTACTACACTACTATACTAATCCACGAGTCTACTATTGTACTGATATACCATTATAGTATTATACTGCTACGGTACTATACTGCCATGCTGCTGTACTGATTGATACATTACTATACGACTATATTAGTGTACTACTCTGCTACTCTACTACTCTACTATTATGCTACTAGTTTGCTGTACTAGTATACTACTATGCTAATATTCTGGTATACTGCTATACCACTATAGTGCCAAACTACTGCACTACTATACTAGTATGCAGCTTTACTGCTATACTACCATAGTGCTGTGCTACTCTACTACTCTACTACTTTACTATTATAATACTATACTGCTACACTGCTATGCTGGTGTGATGCTGCGCTGCTATACTAATATGCTACGTTGCTGCTGTACTAGAATACTGCTACTACTACTAATATTCGACTATAATACTCTAGTACTCTACTATTATACTACAATGCTAATATACTACTATAATAGTGTACTGCTATACTGATATACTGCTCTACTGCTGTGCTGCTATGCTGCCATACTACTACACTACTGTACTGTAGCAATACTATACTACTATAATACTATACTGCTATACTGTTCTACTGCTGTATTACTCTACTGCTATAGCACTATGCTACTATATTGCTACTATTACGATACTACCATACTAGTATACTACCCCACTACGTCTACTAATATGCTGCTACTGAAACTGCACTACCATGCTATTACTATACGACCGTAATACTACTACTACTATACTAGGATAGTGCTACTGCTATACTACTCTACTCCCCTGCTACTCTACTACTTTACTATTACAGTGTTATACTACTATACTACCATATTACTATAGCGCCATACTGTTTTACTACTATACTACTAAAGTACTATACTGCGATACCACTATACTACTCTACTGCTGTGCTACCC